GGGTGGGCGGATGGGTGGATGGATGGATGGGTGGGTGGGTGGATGAATGGATGGATGGTTGGATGGATGGGTGGGTGGGCATGTGGGAGGATGGGTGGGTGGATGGACGATTGAGTCCTTGTCCTAGATGCACTTATGGTCATCACTGCATTCAGAAGCCCCATCAGTCTCCAGATGGTTGAACTAACCAACCTCCAGGGAACCAACTGCCTGGTCACTGCTCCGCTAGCAAACTACAGTCATCACCATGTAGCATGGGGGACAAAGATGTTGCCGTGAACTCTATGGGGGTGGGGGCTGGAGGAGTCTGGGGGCGGTTATCAGAGGGAAGAAAGGACAGAAGCACTCTTTGTTTGGGAAACCATGTCTGTCCCTTGTGAGGAAACGTGTTTATATTGGATAAACTCTAAATAGTCCTAAGACAAAAAAGAAAAATGAGCGGCACCTGAAATAGAGGCAACATTTTTTAGGGGTGGGAATGATTCAGTTGCCAATTGCTCTTTCAGAAAATCGAGCTAAATTTCCCTGCCAATGGGAACTGAAGGGTTAGCCCGGCTCATCCTGCTGCCTCCAAAGAACCAGATAATATCTATCTCAGTTGTTTAACGGGTACAGCACGGTGGACATGTTGTTCTGAGTGTTGAATAATCGTGTGTATACAGTGTCTATGTACTGCCTGCTACATGGCTCTTGATTTACACATGAGTACATGTTCCACTTGTTTAGAAATTCAGGAAAAGTTCCCACAACATGTGGTGGTTTGTTGCCCTAGAGATGATAAGATTTAGTAGCACACTTTGATTTAATATCTGCAAACATTTTTCAGATAAAACAGCATAAGATAGTGGAAAGAGCAGTCAAAAAAGGGGAGGCGGGTTAAAATTTACTTCTGGCCAATGTGAGCAGAAACACGTCACTTTATCCCATTGGGTATCAGTTTTCTAAGTGGAAAATGTAAGAACTGCACCAAATCGGTGGTTTCAAACTCAGTTGCAAAAACACATTGAATTATTTGAGGTGCTTCCCGGAAGTGGGGGTGGGCATGAGGTCCACCTGGTCAAACAGACATTGTGGCTCTTTGTTCTTGTTGTTAGTTGCAATTAAGTTGGCTCCAACTCATAGCAACTTCATGTATAACAGAACAAAACATTGCCCAACCTTGCACCATCTTCATGATAGTTGGTTTGTTTGAATTCATTGTTGCGCCATTGTGTCAATCCATCTCACTGAGGGTTTCCCTCATCTTTGCTGGCCCTCCACTTTACCAAACATGATGTCCTTCTCCAGCGATCAGTCCCTCCTGATGACACATCCAAAGTAAGCGAGTTGAAGTCTTGGGCAATATTCTGTGACCCAGAGGGTTTTCACTGGCTGATTTTCAGAAGTAGATCACCAGGCCTTTCTTCGTAGTCTTAGTCTGGAAGCTCTGCGGAACCCTGTCCACCATGGGTGGGCCTGCTGGTATTTGAAATACCAGTGTCATAGCTTCCAGCATCACAGCAACACGTAAGCCACCACAGGACGACAGACTGACAGACGGATGGTGGTCATGGCGCTTACCTCTTATATGTTGGACCTCCGTAAGACGATCTCGCTTGCTCTTCGCAAAGTGGCTGAGGAGTCTGAGGTCCTCGCCAGCTCTGAGAGATTCTTAGATAACACTCATGTGTGCTGTGCGTGTGGTTTCTGCCACAGTGTCTTCATGTTCAGGCATTTTGTGAACTGCTTCCCTTTCATCTGTACAAGACCAAATCCAAACAATGGCTCCTTCCCTGGAGACCTGCAGAAGGAGGGAAAGATGGTTCCATCATTGACGTTATGCCTTCCAGATGCCGTATCTCAGATTCCTCCACAGAGAGGACTCTCTTTATTGCAGTCGAGCCAAGATCATCAATAAAGAAAGAAGGGAAAGCTGAGGGGAATCAAGCATCAGCTTGTAGGGATCTAAGAGCTTCCAGGTGGAAAGCAACAGGCCTTCGTGAACGGTAGAGGTGCTTTCATTGTTAAATTTTGCCTTTGGTGATGGATGCTTGCCAATGAAATTTTTGAAACTAGATGGTGGTGACGGTCACGCACATTCTGGATGTAACTAATGCCACGGACTTGTACACTTAAAAATGGTTAAAATGGCAAATTTTATGTTCTGTCTATTTTACCACAATGAACAAAAAAGATACGCAAGTATGTAACTGTTTTCACTGGTTCAGCGAGTGCTACCAATACTTATTGGTTCTTTCCCAAAGTTTGTATTTTTACAAGCAATATATGAAGAACAGAGAATAAGTTATACTCGAGATGCTAGAATCTAATGTTCCTTTTACAGCTGATTTATAAGTGTCAGGAGGATATCAGGCATTATAAGTATTTTAGTACTCCTGAGAAGAGTGATATTTTAAGTATCAATTTAAATACCTCTGCATTTCAGATTTCAAAAATTCTATTCATGAAGGGATACCTTCTGTATCTTGCATACTTACACCAAATTTTAAAGCCTGAATTATTTTATCAAGTCCATTCTTAGGATCACTGAATAAATTAAAATTGCAGGGGCACATTTACTCTTAGAACTGTACTCATGTACTGTGTTATTATTATTATTCAGTTTCTCATTCAAAAATTTATACACAGATTGTTTTGTGACCTTGGCTGCAATCCCCGCAATGTGTCAGCACTCTCCCCCTTTCCACCCCGGGTTCCCTGTGTCTATTCGTCCAGTTTTCCTGTCGTTTATTATTTTATTGGACGCATTTATGATATATAACAATGTTAGTTTTATCCACTGATCACCTGGACTCCTGCCACCACCACCCCCGCCAGGCCTCTGTGTAGGGGGTGTGGTTAACCCAGCCCCTCCCGTCAACAGCCCCTCTCATCCTGAGCAAGGTCTGTGCAAGGCCCCTCTGGTTTCACTTTCTGTTCTCTTTTATTCGCTACCCCCCACCCCCAGCAACCATATGAGTCCCTGTATGGGCTCTTTAAAATGTGAAGTAGTATTATCAGTTTAGGTTTATTTAATTTGCAAAAATTCACTCTCATACTGCTGCTTGCTTTTCTCACTCAGTTATATGTTTGTAAGATCTAATTACACGGCTAAGGAGCCCTGATGCCGCGTTGGTTAAGTGCCAGCTGCTAACCAAAAGGTTGGCTGTTCAAACCCACCAGCCACTCCACAGGAGAAAGACCTGGCATTCTGCTCCTGTAAAGATTTCAGCCTAGGAAACCCTATGGGACAGTTGTACTCTGTCTCATAGGGTCACTCTGAGTCGGAATTACACCTCAACATAAAGAAAACAAAAATCCTCACAACCGGACCAATAAGCAACATCATGATAAGCAGAAAAAAGATTGAAGTTGTCAAGGACTTCATTTTACTTGGATTCATAATCAACATCCATGGAAGTAGCAGTCAAGAAATCAAATGATGTACTGCACTGGGCAAATCTGCTGCAAAAGACCTCTTTGAAGTGTTAAAAAGCAAAGATGTCACCTTGAGGACTAAGGTGCACCTGACCCAAGCCATGATATTTTCAATCGCTTCACATGCAAGCGAAAGCTGGACAATGAACAAGGAAGACTGAAGAAGAATAGATGCCTTTGAATCATGGTGTTGGCGAAGAATACTGAATATACCGTGGACTGCCAGAAGAACAAATAAATCTGTCTTGGAAGAAGTACAGCCAGAGT